TATATATATATATATATATATATATATATATATATATATATATAAACATTTGTTGTATTAAAAGATAAAAATAGTCTGGTGGACAAAAATGTCCCATTACTTTTGTTTTTGTGAACATATGAGAATGTCAGCAATGATTATACATTATAATGCTATTATGATAATCAAATATTTTTATAACTGATAATAATTTCTGATTATTATTTTCATATTTTAAATATTCAATGGATATAAAGTTGACCAATATATAATTTAAATTATTTAATCACTAAACTTACCCATCGAAGATGATGATGATGAAATGGATAAATCTGTTGAATTTTGACTTTCAGTCATTTTTATACCAGTATCGGATATCTGATGTTGTGTTACATTTCCAACGACATTACTACCACTTGTTGACAATAATGGCTGTATAAGAAAATTAATTAATTAATGAATTAATAAAATAGATTCATAAAAATTAAATTAAAATAAATAGTAAAAATTATTTGATATGATATAAAAGTGTTTTAGAAAATACTTAATAGATTATGCAAAAAATAACTTATAGATACTTCCGGTGTATTTTGAAAAAAACATTTGAAAGAACAATTTCTTTTTTTAAACGTTTGATACGTAACGTAATTCACGTATTCAATTTATTGTCAAAGATATTATGCTATAAAATTTTTTCGTTCTTTTTTTTTTCCTAATTTAAAATGCAAAAATAATAATTTACAATCATATGTTATGTTTAAAACAACAAGTTAATCTATAAAATAAAATCAGAAAAAAAAATTCTAATAAATACTAATTGTTAAAAATTAATTTCTTTCATTTGGATGAATAAATTTGTTTAAAATTTATGCACTTGAATGTAATTAAATTTTCATGAAAAACAAATGGCAAATGTTATAGTTTTAATGATAAAAAAAAAAAGCTAAAAATTAAATTAAATTATAGTACATGAGAGGAATCAAAAACTTAAATAACCAATAAAATAATTATATTAATTGTACTTTTCGTTTTAAACTTTTTTTTTTCATATTTTATACAAAATATAATTAATAACCTTTGCAGTAGTATTAGGTAAACTTGCTGTTCGTTTCATTCGATAATTTGGTAATGTACTACCGAAATAATTCATTCGATTTAAACGTTCTTGTCTAAAAATTTTCAAAAATTTAAAAATTTAGTAAAAGAAAAAAAGAAACGTGTGAAAGAGAGAGTTATATAATTTTACATATCGAATTTGTAAATATTTTAGTATAGTTGTACTAAAATATATATTAATTGATTTATTTACAAAAAAAAAAAATCCATTTTTAAATTTGGAATCTTTTCTTTTTTGAATTCCTAAATTTTTGAAAAAAACAAAATTGCATTTTTTTTTTATCATAAATGTATTCTTACAAATGTTGCTTTTTTATCAGTTAACAAAGAAAAAAAAAAGCTTTTTTTTTAAATTCAAATAAAATTTTTACTAATTATTATTTAAAAATTGAAAGTAATTCCTCTCTCTCTTTCTTCCTCTCTCTCTCTCTCTCTCTATTTTGTTAATTTAATTTACTTTTTTTTTTAATTTTGAACAATCAAGAATGATCATATAAGAATTGATGGTGAACCTGCTAAGCATATTATTAATTGCAACTTCTTGACGAAGTCTATCAAGTTTCAACATACTTTCTACCACTTGAATACTTTTTGTGTATGCTTCAATGTATGTTTCTTCATGATCTACTAAAAAAAAAAATAAATAAAAAAAATAAAAAATTAAATTTTAGATTCATCTGAAAATTTTAAGAAAATTTTCCAATTAATTTATTTTTTTTTACATTCTTTAATGGAATTTTGATTTGAATGATTAATTCTATCAAAAGTATTTGAATATAATTTTTGATTAATTTTACATAAATTATTTCTCCATTAGTTATTAATGTTAGCTAGGAATAGCTAAAATAAATTGCTATTAAGTAATCATATTTGCATTTCCAATTAATTTCATCCCATCCCACATTTATTAAAATTTATCTATTATCAGTATTAATTGATAAGTCTTCCAATTAGTCGCATAATTCTTCTCATTTATTATATTTTATTTGTTATTAGTAACTGCCAATAAATAAATAATTCATCATATATCATTAAATTTTACCTGTTATCAGTATCTACTGATAAATCATCATCATTATTCATAGGTTGATGTGCTGCCATCCGAGCAAGGGATGTTCTATCTTCAACATCAAGCGATGACTGCAAATAAATGCATATCATTTCGCTAAGCTTATCAATATATTTCGATGGATTAATTATTGAAAACTCTATATTAATTAAGTATTAATTTAATTAAAAGAAATTGAGTACTAATTTGAGTACCGATTTTAGCTGATTTAAGTGTTAATTTAAATTAAGCACCAATGATTTAAGCAACTTTAAAATTTTAATTAAATACTAATTTTAACAGTAATTAAGGTGAATTACTGATAAGAAGATGCAATCAGTTAAACAGATAATCAATGAGTCATATAAATAACTCTTTTTTTTTCAACGGTTATAAGAGATTACATTTCAAAAAAAAGTTTATAATTTTCAACCATAAAATTCATTATTAATAAAATCGTCGCAATCATCAAATGATCTTTCTTATTACTAATTGACAAAAATTAATTATGCAAATTAAAATTAATTAAAAGATTAAATTAATCAAAAACATACCTTAGGGATGTGTGCTACAACATCATAATAAACAGATGTACCAATGATTGAATCCTTTAAAAAGAAAAAAAAAGCAATAATTTGCATTAATTTAAAATTTATTTAACATTTCTCCCTCCCTCTCTCTCTCTCTCTCTTCTGTTCTCTCTCTC